CTCTGCATGTGTTTTGGCACATTTGTGTTTTTACATTTGCATTCTTTTCCAAAGTGCAGTGCGTTTATCTTGATGGAAATGTTTTGTAGTCGTTGTAGCACATTTGCCGGGGTCGGCTATCGTCAAAATGTAATGGATTATGTAAGAAAAAAAAACAGGGAGTATAACATAAAAACAATTGTTGGCTGCATCCTGAACACCGGTGATAACACAGGTGGTATTATCGAAGTCAACTTTATTGTCAATCTTTCAGTTTGTGTGTACAGACAGAGAGATCGAAATACCGTTTCCCACAATCCAGAAGAACACAAAATACAAATATATATAAAAATATGTATATACATATATATATACACAATCAACAGATATCCAGGTATACGTGCTAAAAGACCGCAGATTCAACTGTATCCTGCTGTCAGAATCAGAATCAGGTTTATTACCAGGTAGGTTGACACGTACGAGGAATTTCATCTTTTCTCGATTACTATTTACCTCTTTTGTGTATTTGTTTGTTGCAGGTAGACCATCCAGTTATTTTAGCCGGGCCGGCTCATATGATTGGTCGGGCTTTTTACAGCGCCACGGCTTCCACAGATAACATTTTTTTATGTATTTAATTTCAAAGCATTTAATGTATTCATTGCTATCGGGATGTTAAGAGCATTCCATGGAATATAACAAAAAGTGTTTCTGAAGTGAATTACCTACCCCACCTTTAAGTAGATTATTTGTTTATATATATAATTGATAAGTCAGTAATATTTTTGTTTATCAATTTGACAGTCCTTAAAGTGGACCTATCATGCTATATTTGAATAATATAGTGTAGGACCATACCTATATAAGGCATATTTATACTTTTTTTTTTGCTCAATTTGACAATTTCTAGCTCTGGGCAGATTCAGTGAGAACAGCACCACCTACAGGCCTGGCATATGTACTACAGCTTCTCCAGCGCTATATAATATAGCAGTATTTACAAAGAAAAAGAATGGAATAAAATATGTGCAGTAATAAAAAAAGCAGGTATTGTGTACGTTAATGTAATGCAGACGCTCTCTGTAACATCTGGAGAGACCGCGGCTGTGTTGGACTTCAACAGGAAGTTGCAGCTGGAGAGAATGATTGTACTTCCTCAAATTAACAGCAGTGAGGAGCGAGAGGAGGGGGTGTTGGTGGCTTATTCCCCCCCCCACCCCCCCACCCCACCCCACCTCCCTGCTTTGTTTTGACTGAAGCTAACAGAGCACACGATGGAGCACATGGCTGAGGAAAAAAACCACTGGAAATGATATTGGATGGATGTTCAGAAGAATTAAGATTACTCTCACTATAAAAAGAAGTGTCCCCTTAAAGTTTTGTCCTGGCGGGGAGCTTTACTCAGCCTGCAGTTACGCTTCTCAGGAACACAAAAGCCCATTACTGGAGCTGAGCCCACCACTTATCTGCAGCCTGTAAGCCCCTTTCCACGGAACAAGTCCAGCTACATTATATTCTCCAATTTATGGATTGTGTTCCCTGTGTGAGGACACGAGTGGCCTTTGGGAGACTTAAAGGAGAGACTCTGCAGCATGGGTGTGATGTGAGCAGGGGGGCATCTTCAACTGAAGTGCAACATCAACATTTCTTCCATCCTGCTAAGATGCAGCAGCTAATGGAGATGATGATGATAGTGGTACAGGCATTATATAGAGCGGTGTGGGGAGGACCTATATTTTTCAGGCAGACACAGAAGTTAGATTTTCAATTAGATTTTGGAATATTGCAAAAAATAAGATCTGTTATGTTACTTGAAGGTTTGTTCAGCAGGTTAATCTCCACATATTAACACCACATTATGATTTTTGAAGTAAAAAACTAATGTTGGGCTATAAAGGAACTACAGCACGGTCACATGACTTCACGTCACCATCGCTAAGCTAAAGGAGGCTAATGTTGGGCTATAAAGGAACTACAGCACGGTCACATGACTTCACGTCACCACCGCTAAGCTAAAGGCGGCTAATGTTGGGCTATAAAGGAACTACAGCACGGTCACATGACTCCACGTCACCACCGCTAAGCTAAAGGTGGCTAATGTTGGGCTATAAAGGAACTACAGCACGGTCACATGACTTCACGTCACCACCGCTAAGCTAAAGGTGGCTAATGTTGGGCTATAAAGGAACTACAGCACGGTCACATTACTTCACGTCACCACCGCTAAGCTAAAGGTGGCTAATGTTGGGCTATAAAGTTACTACAGCACGGTCACATGACTTCACGTCACCACCGCTAAACTAAAGACGGCTAATATTGGGCTATAAAGGAACTACAGCACGGTCACATGACTTCACGTCACCACCGCTAAGCTAAAGGTGGCTAATGTCTCATTTAGACACTTGTTAGCAACCTCCGTTTTTAAACTCACCAGTGGGGTATTTACTGACGTATTTCATGTCTTAGAATAATATTCTCTTCAGCTTATATTAACCACAGACCTTATTTCAGGATAACAACCAAAAACACATTCAAATAAACCATTGACTTCCAGACGAGGGGACACGATGTGCTAAATTGCTGACTCATTTCCACATTTTAGGACTCATTCCTGCATCGTTTCTGAAATTGTTTTGGGACGTTGTAGCTTGTTTGCATCGGCCACGTAGAATAGAAATGCATAAATATATAGTAAAATAGGAGCTTATTCTGGGATGTAGGTGAAGGTAAGTCTCTTTGCGTAGGAACACAACGGCCCCCATATCATGTTTTAAACTTCTTTGGAGGGAAAGCCTTTACATTTATATAAGATTTCTTTTTAGCTGTGTATTATTGAAAATGTCTTCCATCCAGAGAGAGCGGGAAGGTTGGTGATTTCCAACTTATAAGTATTAGACATCCAACCAATGATGCAACCACTCGTCTGAAAACAAGCCTCTCCGGTTTGTTGTCCTGTTTACACCTGCGTGTCTTTATTACCGGTCTTATCGTGCACTCGTCTGGTTCCACTGAGCCTCCTCCTGCCAAACACTCTAATCTGATCTGCACCTTTATCTGGACCGTCTCCCTCGGGATCCTCTGACACCTTTTTGGCAACTTCACCTGCAAGCATGCTGAATCGCTCATCTGTCCTCCACTGCACTACAGAATTATGTCCTATATATATATATAACACTGACCAGGCTTGGAGAGAAACGGATTACATGTAACGGGATTACGTAATCAGGATACAAAAAGAAAAAGGTAACTGTATTCCCTTAGAGTGACATAAAAACAAAAAGGTCCATGTTGTGTTCCTAGAGTCCAAGGCGAATGTTTACGGGTTTGAAAGTGAATATAAAGAAAAATAAAGCTTTGATTGTGTAAGAAAAACTACATTCTGTTTTTGACGTTCTAACACCAAAGAAATCATGCACTGCTTCGAGGGTATTCTAGTAAATTCAATATATGTTATGTCTTATTATAATATGTGGGTTATCCAGTGCTGGACAGACAAAAAAAGGGAACTTTTAATGAGAATTTCTCACAATTTTCTTACATTTTACAGTAAAATGTACGGTGGCCGCCAGGTTCAAACGTGCCACAACGGCCCAAAACATTTCCATTAGCAGTAACGTGCTGCACTTTTGAAAACGATGCAAATATAGAGACACAAATATGCCAAAACACATGCAGCGTTTCATGCATAAAGGAATCATGTGATCACATTGTTGAAATAAGCCAAATAACACTTACATTTTAGGTACGTTTTTCAACAACAGTGACCAACTTTATAATCCCCCGAACGTCAAGGCTGTTTTCCCTTACAGCTATATACAATGTAATCAGATTACTGTTACACTAGTTTAAAATATAAGGAGGACATATTTTGTATCCTGAATATCTTGGTTTTTCTTTTCTAATGTCACATTACAAAACAATATATTTGCATTGAAGTTGATATTTAGGAAATCCAAAAGTAACGCAAAGTAATCAGGTTACATTACTTTTATATTATGATACTCAGCTGAAGTTACTGATTACTTTTCCCTGCAGGTAACTAGTAATTGTAACGTAATACATGTTTAAAGTAATACATATCCTCATTATCTGGATGCCTTTTAATCCCAGTCACCTGTCTCTGCAAGATCCTGCCTAAACAACAATGTGGAGAAACTGACACAGAGAACATGTCCTCTTCCCAAACACAGAAGAAATCAGAGCTGCCCTGACGTCTTTATTTTTGGGTTATTGATGCCATCATTACTAGACTGATTCCAAGAGCAAAATGGTTTCCGGGTTGGAGGAGGAAATTAGAAGTTTGATGGCACTCTCTCCCGGGAGAAAAGCAATTACGCACAGCACTGAGAGCACAATCGTCGGAAATGGGCTCATTGAAGAGACACAAGATGATTCGTCAGGCACAATAGCTCTGAGGATGAGAGGAAACACATCCACTCTGCTTGTTTTATATAACAACAACAAAAAAGATACATTTTACCAATCACAGCAGTTTTATTGACAACCCTGTATCTGCCCACTTTTCCTCTGCGATGTAAACCTGTCATTTAACGCGTAAACCAAATTGATGGCGCGATAAAGTTGTCAATAACCTGGACGTGCTTTTCTCAGAGATGAAATCCATTTGCAGGAATGAAGAGAAATCGCGTTAAAGCCCGGCTGACACTTGTCGTAAATCGTTCCTGACAGCTCCCTAATGGAGTGTTATTACTGTTGCGCACACGGCACCAAGCAGAGGGTTCGCGAGGGGGTGTTTTCAGGAGGGAAACAGGGGGAAGAAAGCTTCAACTGCAATACTGAGGATAACTTAGCAAACTGCATGAAGCAAAGCGTGTCCTTGAAGCAAAACACAGCGCGAGACTGAGGTTTTTCTCCATACAAAGCGTCCAAAACTACCAGATGGCCACTCCGAGACGAAACAACATGCACGAATCTGCACATCTGGACACACACACACAGCTGTCAGAGCCGCACAAACACAGGAAGAGAAACACAAATGTAGCTGAAATGCGAACACTTACCCGAGCACTGTATCCACATCTGTTTTGACGAGACCTCAAACGTCACACTTTGCGTTGCATTCACGTACAGCAAAGGTTTCGCCGAAGAAGAAGAGTAGAAAACTCTCCGCCGAGCGACCAATTTCAAACAATTCTCCCCTACTTGATGTACAAGGTAACTATTTAGTTATGGCAAATGGTGCCCTAATCTAGCCTGAGTGGCATTGCTTTATGATTGACAGCCGCTCGGGCCAATGGGAGCGAGCTGCTGGCGCCGCTTCGACCAATCAGATCGGTAGCGCGGAGTTAGAGGAAGGTGAGCTGTGAAGTAGGAAGGGCTGCTGGCGACATCATGTGTTAAGAGTTGATATCCCTCCGCCTGTCATGTTGTGAGAGCAAGGCGGCACTTTCATTGCTTTTTACTTAAATATTATCATACAAATCAGAGTTTACAGATAACATGGTTCATTATATATGTGTCAGTGTCATAAAAATACATATCAAGTTATTATTTTTTTAATTGTGTCATTTTAATATATGTTTTTGGAGTCAAAATTAGCCTACAACAAATATAAATGAGGGAATGTCATCATGTATGTATATGAGGAATTTTACTTAAATTAACTTAATGTAGTTATTGATCACACGTTGTATTGTAATTGGTGTATGTTTGTTTTCAATGTTATTATGTATAACTCATGTGCAATGCCTTGTTTACATGCAACAAACACATTTTCCTAATTGTGATGAATAAATTAAATCTTTGTTACTGTAGACCCCTCGTGAAATATTTAAATGATAACGTATATTCACACAGCAGAGCAGAACATAGCGCCAAAACAGATATTTTTGCTATTAATTCCAGCATGAATACAGCATAATGATTCACTCTGTTGTGCTAAATGTTGTAAATGCATATTTTAAATTAAATTCATGGTGTGTGTGACTCGGCTTTACTTTCACTGGACGATAAATAAGGGGATGATGTGCGCACTACTTTGTCTGTCCCCGGCGGAGGAACACGATGTTGACAGTGACAGGCGGAGTGACGCGCAGTGACGGTTACAGTCAGGAATAAAACACGTGAACACAACTTCACTTTAACACCATCGCGCTTAAAAACATATTTGACGTAGCCGACGTACGGGTTCTATTTTGTGCAGCTGCTTCCGTTTTGGATTGTCGTGCGTAAGGTTACGTCATGTGACGTCAGCAAAAGGCATGCCTGGGATATTTAAAGTAATACAGCTCGTGCGTATTATGATGTTTTTTTTAAATTATTTATGGCTCAAAAGTGAAAGTAGGGGAGGAGACGTCAGGAGAGTCAGTGTATATTTAAGAACAACATCAGTCAACCTGTCAAATATAACTCCCTCACACAGGAAATACCTTACAAATAAATACATGTTGATACAGTTAAGATATTTAGGCAGAGGTGGGAGAAGTACTCTAAGTAAAAGTAGAAGTACTCAGATATTGTACTTGAGTAAAAGTAGAAGTACCAGAGTGTAGGAATACTCTGTTACAGTAAAAGTCCTGCATTCAAAATGTTCCTCAAGTAAAAGTAGAAAAGTATTATCATCAAAATATAGTTAAAGTAGCGACAGTGAAAGTAGTCATTGTGCAGATTGGTCCATTTCAGAATAATATATATGATATGTTTTATAATGATTGATCATGAAAGTGTTCTCAAAGCTGGTAAAGGTGCAGCTAGTTTGAATGACTTTGTATACTGCAGGGTAGCTTGTGGATTTACTCCAGGTGGAACTAAAGTCTGATTTAACACTTGGTTATATTTCACATCATTCATCCACATCTGTGAAGTAACTAAAGGTATTAAATACATGTAGTGGAGGAAAAGTACACCATTTACCTCTGAACTGCAGTGGAGGAGAAGTACAAATATAGCATCAGATGGAAATACTCAAGTAAAGTAATGTACTTTGTAGTAAATGTTGGATCAATAAAGTACCTCTTATCTTATCTTCTTTGAGCATTGCTTGTAATAGTGTTGAAACAAACAGAGTGAGAGGCAGTGACGCACACACACACACTCACACACACACAGATACACACACACACACACACACACACACACATGCAGATTACACAGTGTTTCCTGCTTTACATAAGAGGCTTATGGGATGGAGGAGAGTTGCAGCAGTCAGATGGAAGCTGCAGCTGGGTGTTCCTGAGGTCAGGGGTCAGGGAAATGTCACGGGAAAAATGACCAGACCAAAGTTTGGAGGAAAAGCCAAACAGGAAACAGATCCTCACTCACAGCCACCGATGCTGCTCTTATGTGATATTAGAGTGATCATTCATTATTACAGAGCAGTTTGGCGCCCCCTGTTGAACGGATGAGGAATCTTTTCAGAAGTCCATTAAATATGCTTTTTATTTTTGTTAAAGGCTCACTATAGACTTTTTATTTATATATCAATACTGGGGTTAGTGTCTGAGAGGACTGAGCAGCAGAGGACTCTTTAAAGTAGAGACACTACATACTGATATACACCTGAACATCAGCAGGAGAGGACTCTTTAAAGTAGAGACACTACATACTGATATACACCTGAACATCAGCAGGAGAGGACTCTTTAAAGTAGAGACACTACATACTGATATACACCTGAACATCAGCAGGAGAGGACTCTTTAAAGTAGAGACACTACATACTGATATACACCTGAACATCAGCAGGAGAGGACTCTTTAAAGTAGAGACACTACATACTGATATACACCTGAACATCAGCAGGAGAGGACTCTTTAAAGTAGAGACACTACACACTGATATACACCTGAACATCAGCAGGAGAGGACTCTTTAAAGTAGAGACACTACACACTGATATACACCTGAACATCAGCAGGAGAGGACTCTTTAAAGTAGAGACACTACATACTGATATACACCTGAACATCAGCAGGAGAGGACTCTTTAAAGTAGAGACACTACATACTGATATACACCTGAACATCAGCAGGAGAGGACTCTTTAAAGTGGAGACACTACATACTGATATACACCTGAACATCAGCAGGAGAGGACTCTTTAAAGTAGAGACACTACATACTGATATACACCAGAACATCAGCAGGAGAGGACTCTTTAAAGTAGAGACACTACATACTGATATACACCTGAACATCAGCAGGAGAGGACTCTTTAAAGTAGAGACACTACATACTGATATACACCTGAACATCAGCAGGAGAGGACTCTTTAAAGTAGAGTCACTACATACTGATATAAACCTGAACATCAGCAGGAGAGGACTCTTTAAAGTAGAGACACTACATACTGATATACACCTGAACATCAGCAGGAGAGGACTCTTTAAAGTAGAGACACTACATACTGATATACACCTGAACATCAGCAGGAGAGGACTCTTTAAAGTAGAGACACTACATACTGATATACACCTGAACATCAGCAGGAGAGGACTCTTTAAAGTAGAGACACTACATACTGATATACACCTGAACATCAGCAGGAGAGGACTCTTTAAACATCTTCAAATGTAAACGTTATTTCTTCTTTATTTACCAACAACCTCCTTCAGTGCGTTATTATTCATAGGTTTTCATAATTCATGTCCCAAGATTAAGAGCAACTTCACTGAACTGCTGAGAAAAGTGATTTTCATAAATGGCACATATTTTATTGTGAGGTCAAACAAAGAGCCTGAGGCATGAATATGTTTACAATAAATATACTGCTATCAAAGATAACCGTGATGTTAAGTCTTATTTAGAGTGACCTGGCCTAAAGAGCAGTACAGTTATTGTTCCAACAATACTATATATTCTGAATAAAACTCACACACACTACAAATGAATGAGTTAATATAATGAAGTTCACTACGAGATTCAGGAGCAATCTCATTGAGTGCTATTTTCTCTGTCCTTTAAATGGACTTTAACATGTAAAAACATTGCTGGCATGTAAATAAATATATACATTTGATGATCCAGCAGCGTCTCACCACCATCACCACACATAGAAATTAATGCCATGACTTAAAAAAAGAGGCAAAACACACAATAAATGAAGTTATTTAAAGGTGGGGTAGGTACGTTTGAGAAACCGGCTCGAGATACACTTTTTGTTATATTCCATGGAATGCTCTTAACATCCCGATAGCAATAAATATCTTAAGTGCTTTGACAAAAAATCCATAAAAAAATTTCATCTGTGGAAGCCGTAATACTGTAAAAAGTACGACCAATCATTTTAGCCGGCCCGGCTAAAATGATTGGATGGCCTACCTGCCTGTCAGCCTTCCATCTGTGCACAAACATATCTCGTGCCCTCATTGGTCATGTGCGCGTTCGTGTGTGTTGGAGGAGGGGCTCTGTAAGGAAGTGGCAGATTTTCTCCGGTTGTGTATTTTCAAATTCTAGCGCACTCGAGCCGGTTTCTCAAACTTACCTACCCCACCTTTAAGTGGCAGTAATTATAATTTATATATATTTGTATTTCATTTAAAATTAAATGTTATTCTTTTTGTATTCTTTTATTTTTGTTTCTTCTATTCTTATTTTATTTGTTTGGTAATATTAACATTTTTGGTTTTCAATTATTATTATTTTTAAATATTATTATTTTTTTTTGTATTATGAAAACTTTACATTTTTGCTTTGAATTTTGAATTTAACACATTAACAGTTTGAAGATAACATGGCGTGGGAATGTTCAACTGTTAACTTTTGACCATGCAGTGTATTAAATAGTCTTCTTTATATTAGAAGCTGTGTGCATCATTACATCCTGATAATAACCTGACTCACTGAAAACACAGTACTTCAGATATAAAGAGAAACTCAGTCTGAATATTCAGCGCTCAGAGGTCAGGAGGTCAGTGCAGAAATGACCCGCTGTTATGAAATGTGAAGATGCATTGTGAATTTAATTCTGTTGTTAAGAACACAGAGCAGCTCGATGAACCTCAGAGCTAACAGGCTGCAGGACATCGAGATACACATCATACTCAACACTTGTAATGTTGTGGAGAGAGCAATAAATATCTTTTGAAAGAAGGCTGCTTGAAATTATAATATGATGCGTTCAAAAAGAAAGAAGATAATATCCAGTTGTGTTTTTAAAGTACAATTTTGAGGTACTTTACTTGAGTGCTTCCATTTAATGCTACTGTGTTCTTCTACTCCAGAGGTAAATGGTGTACTTCTACTCCACTGCATGTATTTAATACCTTTAGTTACTTTACAGATGTTGTTACGTTCCCTAC